TGCCCGCGCAACCCTCTGCGGAGATCGTGCGTGTCGAGTGCGCGAAACGCAGGCGAGAGTGCGATTTGGTACACAACTCTAGTACGCAGAGTAGCTGGGGAGCTGGAAGCTGAGAACTGGCGACGTGGTAGTGCGAGAGTAGTACGCGGAGTAGCTGGGGAGCGGGAAGATGAGAACTGGCGAGTGGGTGGTACAACTTGAGGGCGTGGAGTATGTGGGGAGCTGGGAGATGAGCGCTGGCGACTTTGTAGTACAACTGTAGTACGCGGAGAAGCTGGGGAGTTGGAAGCTGAGAACTGGTGACTTTGTAGTACAACTTTAGTACGCGGAGCAATCTGTGGAGCTGGAAGCTGAGAACTGGCGAGTGCGTAGTACAACTTTAGTGCGCGGAGTAGCTGTGGAGCTGGAAGATGAGAAGTGGCGACTTGGTAATACAACTTTAGTACGCAGAGCAGCTGGGGAGTGGGAAGATGAGAACTGATGAGTGGGTAGTAGCTGAGAACTCGCGACTTTGTAGTACAACTTTAGTACGAGGAGTAGCTGGGGAGCTGGAAGATGAGAACTGGCGACTTGGTAGTACAAATTTAGTACGCAGAGCAGCCGGGGAGGGGGAAGATGAGAACTAGCGACTTGGCAGTGCAACTTTAGTACGCAGAGTAGCTTGGGAGTGGGAAGATGAGAACTGGTGAGTGGGCAGTAGCTGCGAAGTGGCGACTTTGCAGCACAACTGTAGTGCGCGGAGTAGCGGGGGAGCTGGAAGATGAGAAGTGGCGACTTGGTAGTACAACTTTAGTACGCAGAGTAGCTGGGGAGTGGGAAGATGAGAACTGGTGAGTGGGTAGTAGCTGAGAACTGGCGACTGTGTAGTGCAACCTTAGTATGCGGAGTAGGTGGGGAGCTGGAAGATGAGAACTGGCGACCTGGTAGTACAACTTTAGTACGCAGAGTAGCTGGGGACTGGGAAGATGAGAACTGGCGACTCATGGGTAGTACAACTTTAGTACGCAGAGTAGCTGGGGAATGAGAAGATGAGAACTGGCGAGTGCTGCGAACTGGCGACGGTGCAGTATAACTGTAGTGCGCGGAGTAGCTGGGGAGCTGGAAGATGAGAACTGGCGACTTGGTAGTACAACTAACACGTGCCTTTGACAACAGGCAGTGGAAGCCAGCTTGCTGGCTGCCATTGTCCAGATGGAAAGCCAGCACGCTGGCTACCATCATAGTTGAAGTGGGTAAGCCAGCACGCTGGCTGCCATTGTCCAGATGGCAAAGCCAGCACGCTGGCTACCATCATAGTTGAAGTGGGTAAGCCAGCACGCTGGCTGCCATTGTTGAGATGGCTAAGCCAGCACGCTGGCTACCATCATAGTTGAAGTGGGTGAGCCAGCACGCTGGCTGCCATTGTCCAGATGGCAAAGCCAGCACGCTGGCTGCCATCATAGTTGAAGTGGGTATGAGCCAGCACACTGGCTGCCATCATAGTGGAGTGGGAAAGCCAGTGAGCTGGCTCCCATAATCTAGAGGGCAAAGCCAGCACGCTGGCTGCCATATTATCCTAATATAGATGTATATATGTATATATAGATAGGTGGCAAAGCCAGCATAAAGCAGATGTTTATGAAATCCTTTCGCAGGTCTTTGGTGCTGTAGATCTTAGGCACGTTTCGTTTCGTGTTCGTTGTGTGTTTTGAGGTTAGAGTATCGAGTCCGTGGCGCGATGTGCGCGGTGGCTCAAGCAGAGAGACCGCAGCAATTTCCAAGTGAGTTCGCGCAAGTCTCCACAGACTGTAGCCGGGAACGTGCAGCAAGACAAGAGCCGTGAAGAATGTACTTGCAAGAAGTTTCAACGCACCCCGCATAAGCTTCTCGTCAAGAGGCGCGCGGACCAGAGCTCATCCACGCAAGATGGCCAAACCAGTCCATAGCAAACAGATACTGGGTTGCCCATGGAGAAACCTCGCAGTTTTGGCGAGTGGTCCAGCGGTCCAGTGGATGGCACGACTGGGTGAGGAACAACAGCCGCAACTTCACAAATGCCTACACCATCCAGATCTGCTTCGGGCGGACGCGCTAGACCCAACCAACCGTGTGTCTCATACCGTGACTTCTTCCTGATAAATTCTGTGTGGACGTCGTTCTGCGGAGCACAACACTATCCTTGCTGTGTACAAAGACTAGTCGCGAGCAGAACAGCGAGAGTGCGCTAAAACATCTACAGTGCCTGCTGTGTGTCACCTCACGCTACTTTGTCGCGTTTTTCTCTGAGACAGTCAATTACTCAATGACAAGCATAGTGGTTGGTTAACTACATCCTAGAAAAGCTGTGTCCTGGAGTGAAGTAAACGTTTTTGCCCGGAATATATATATATATATATCGATGGATGCCTTTCCTCTGACAGGTCACTGCTTCGAGACGCTTCTGGCGTGGCTGCCT